TATGATCTCGCTTCTCTTCTGCTTAGCATAGCTTTCACTTGTTCTTCTCTTTCTGGTTTCTTGACATAGAAGCTAAAATCACTGATTTGAGACCATTCTTCTCTTCTAACATAGGTGTTAAGTGCTATAAATTTCCTGTTAAGTACTGCTTTAGCAGCATCCCATAAATTCTGATACATTGTGTTTTCATTTTCATTCAGTTCAAAATACTAATTTCTCTTTTGATTTCTTCTTTGACCATTGATTATTCAGATGTAGGTTATTTACCTTCCTAACGTTTGGGGATTTTCCAGAGAGCTTTCTATTATTGATTGTTGTACACTGCATGACCTGAATTCTTCCAAATTTACTGAGACTTGTTTTATGGCCCAGAATATGGTCTACCTTGATAATGTTCTCTGTGCATTTGAAAAGAATGTATATTCTGCTTTAGTTGAAAGGAGTGTTCTACAGATGTCAATTAGAGCAAGCTGGCTCTGTACTGTTCAAGTCTTTTATACCTTATTGATTTTCGGTTTACTTATTCTATCCATTATTGATTGATCAATTATTAGAGAGGAGTATTAAAATTTCTGACTATAATTGTGGATGTGTCTATTTTTCCTCCTAAAGTTTCATCAGGTCTTGCTTCATGTATTTCAAAGCTATCTTTATTAAGTGCGTAAACATTTAGGATTTTTATCCCCTCCTGAAGGACTGACCCCTTTATCATTATGAAATGATCTTCTTTATCCCTGGTAATATTCTTTGCTCTGAAATCTACTTTGACTAATATTAACACAGCCACTCCAGCTATCTTTTGACTAGTGTTTGCATGGCCTATCTTCTTTGATCCTTTTATTTTTAACCTATTTATGCCTTTATATTTAAAGAGCACTTCTTACATGTAGTTTATATCTGGGTCTCCCTTTTTCACTCAATCTGATGGTCTCTGCCTTTTTTTGTTTTTTTTGAGGAAGATCAGCGCTGAGCTAACATCTGCTGCCAATCCTGCTCTTTTTGCTGAGGAAGACTGGCCCTGAGCTAACATCTGTGCCCATCTTCCTCTACTTTATATGTGGGTCGCCTGCCACAGCGTGGCTTGATGAGCGGTGCCATGTCCACACTCGGGATCCGAACCGGCAGACCCTGGGCTGCCGAAGCAGAATGTGTGAACTTAACCATCAAGCCACCGGGCGGGCCCCTGGTCTCTGCCTTTTAATTGGCTTTAGATCATATACATTTAATGTAATTAGTGATAACTTGTTAGGCTTAAATCTCTCATCTTGCTATTTGTTTTCTATTTTCCTGTGTGTTCTTTTTCCCTTTCCCTCTTACTATTTCAGAGGGGCAGGGTTAATTCAGAACGATTTTATGATTCCATTATATCTCCTTGCTTGGCTTACTAGTTGTAACTTTTTGATTTGTTATTTTAATGAGTGCTTTAGGGCTAGGAGTATACATCTTCAACTTACAGTCTTCCTTCCAGTAAAATTACACCACTCATGTACAGCATGAGAACCTTATAATACTTCCATTTCTCCCCACCTCCTGGCCTTTGTGCTATTGTTGTCATACATTTTACTTTTAAGTATGTTATGGACCTCAAGCTACTTTGTTATTACTTTTAATTAAATAGCCAATTATTTTCTAAAGAGATTTAAATAATAAGAAAAAAAATCTTATACTAACCATGTCTGGTTTTCTTCATTCTTTTGTGTGGATCTCTATTTTCCTTTGGCATCATTTTCCGCCTTCCTGAAAGACTTCCTTTAACATTTCTTTTAGAGCAGGTCTATGGGTGATAAGTTATTTCAGTTTTTATATATCTGAAAAAATTTTTATTTCACCTCCAATTTTGAAAAGTATTTTCTCTGGGTATTGAATTCTATGTTAGCTGTTTTTTCCTTTCAGTACATTAAAGATATTCCACTGACATCAAATCCATCTACCATTTCACCAATTTATTCTGTGTCTAACAATCTACCCAATGATTTTTTATTTCAATGACTATTTTTCATATATAAAAGTTCTGTCTGATTCTTTAAAAAATCTATTTTTTTTAATACACTTTTTATTTCCCCCGGTTTCTACACTTTCTTTGATTTCTTTAACCACTTAAAACATGGTATGGTCTCTTTCAGATTGTTGTTCATTATTTAAGATTTTTGGCCTTCTAACCCTCCAGTTTGTGGTATCTGATAACATTTACTCATAGTGGATTGACTCTTTTTCACTTGTGTAATTTTATTTTTATTATTATGAATTCATCTTAAGCAAGGGTTGTTTTTGCTCTGGCACCTTTGTGCTATTTCTCTTGTGAAAAAGAGCTTTTGCATTTATTTCTAGCTAGTACCCTAGGGATATCATTGGCCAAGGATCAATGTTTATGTTAAATTCTTAAGGTGAAACGACAGACCTGGTGGCCTCGTGGTTAAGTTCAGCACGCCCTGCTTTGGCGGCCTGGGTTTGCTTCCCAGGTGCAGACCTACATGACTTGTCTGTCAGTGGCCATGCTGTGGTAGTGGCTCACATACAAAAAGAGGAAGACTGGCAATAGATGTTAGCTCAAGGTGAATCTTCCTCAGCAAAAGAAAAAAGGAAAGAAAGAAAGAAAAAGAAAATTCTTAAGTTGAAGATTCCACCATCACATTCTTGGTTTAAATTTGTAGTCCAAATCTAAGAGTTTTAGGTTGGGATTTTCATTTATTTGGGAGACTTTCTCCTCTATCCATATTTGAGATCAGGAATAAATTTCCCTGTAGTCTTCTGGGCCAATGAATGGAGAGTTTGGGTCCTTTCTTTTTCATAGGATTATGGATTTTAGTTTTACACAGAAATCTCAGTTGCAATTTCCCATCTCACTCAGCCCTCATCTTCTGTCCCCAGTTGAATGTTCATACAAAAGCTTCTAGCTATTAGTGGTTCTACTTATCTCCCCAGGACAGCAGCAATGTCGGGTTATATGCATGTAACTTACTTTTAGTTTTCGTTTTCTCTTTGCTTCTGGCACGTGGAATTCTTCCTTTGTTTCTCTCATGAGCTTGACATTGCCCCCAAGTACATAGTCATATATTCTAGTTGTGTCTCTGGTTGTGCTGTGTGGGACACTGCCTCGGCATGGAGATACAGCCTCATAACAACTCAAGTGAGAACTGTGGAGCGGTTTGAGCTGACTGCCCCATATAAGCCACCAGTATAAAGTGGTTGCCAGAAAGTTCACCCTTTATAGTAGAAGGATAGTGCCCAGGAGAAGAAGGAAATAGGATTTTGTACTTACCACATTACATGTGTCCATTATTTATCTACTGTGTAACAAATCACCCCAAAACTTAGTGGCTTAAAACAGTAAACATTTATTATCTGAGAATTTCTGCTGGTCAGAGACCTTGGTACAGCTTAGCTTGGTGCCTCTGTTGAAAGGCGTCCCACAGAATGAAATCAAGGTGTGGGACGAGGCTACGGTCCCATCTGAAAGCTTGACGGAGGGAGGATCTGCTTCCCAGCTCCCTCACTTTGCTGCTCACTGGATTCAGTTCCTCACCGGCTGTTTAACTGAGGGCCTCAGTTCCTTACTGGCTGTTAACACTGCCTCCTTCAGTTCCTCACCACGTGGGCTTCTCCACAAGGCAGCTCACAATATTGCAGCTGGCTTCCGGCAGAACAAGCAAGAGAGCAGGAGGGGGCAAGCAAGATGGAAGCCCTAGTCTCTTTGTAACCTAATCTTAGAAGTGATATCCATCACTTGCCATATTTTAGATCCAGTCTACACGCAAGGGAAGGGGCGTGAACACCCAGGAGGTGAGGATGATCAGGAGCCATCTTAGAGGCTGCCTACCACAACGTGTCACATTTTTAAATGGCCTCACAGGTACAATATGATATCCCAAGATCTGTGACTAAGACAATTAAAAAAATTTTTTTAAAGAACAAAAACTCAGGTCATGTAAAGAAGGATATCAATGCTTAGGCTAGAAAAGAAAAGGGATAAAAGGAGAAAACGAAGGAACAGCAGTGGGAACTTTAATGGCTGTTTTAAAATCACTGAAAAGCTGTCACGTGTAAGAGAGATTGTACTTAGTTTCTGTAGCTCCAGGATACTAAGCAAGACCAATAGAAAAGCATTCTAGTACTTATCACACAACATTTTAATGGCCTGTTTGTATCCTCCACATGATTATAAACTGCTTATAAGCAGATACTATACACGTCTTGTTCACTATTTTAATCTTCAGTTATTGGAACACATCAGGTACTCAATAAATACTTGATAAGTGATATGTGAAAAAAAATTAAAGAACAAATCCATAAGGAAATGAATTTTGGCTCAAAATCTAGAAATAAAGAACTTAATGCTTAGAATTTTCTAAAATCAGGATGAGCTGCTATGTCTGTGGAGACATCAGAGGAAAGGCTGGATGATCATGCAGGACAAATGAGGTCAAGCGATTTGGATGGAATGACATCTAAGTGTTACAAGGTCCACCTGTAATGTTCTGAGCCCGTGACACTGTTGGTCTAGATAAAGAAATTCTTACGGAAAATTGCTCCTGGTCTACACTATGGGAATAGCCTACGGTACACCGCCCATGTTGAAGACACAATAAAACCATAATTCCTTCCCTTTGACAATTTGAACACTCTGAGCCATTTAAAACATTTAACCAAAAGTGAAACGAGCCCCACAGAAAGCAGCTCGCTCCTAACACTGGCCCCACTATCCGTCCCTGCTGCACTGTTCGGAGGCAGTGTGGTGCAGTAGGAAGACAAAGGACAAAGGCTGTGGGTTCTGGAGTCACACTGGCCTGGTCTGGCTCTGCACTTTACCAGCTACAGGACCACAGGCAAGTCACCCAATCTCCTTGGGCCTCAGCTTCTTAATTCTAAAATTGGGATAATAGTCACCTCACAGGATTGCTCTGTTTTATTCCCCCTGACTATTGTAAAGTCCTCTCTTTGACAGTGGAAGCCATCAAGAAACATTTCAGCCTAGGTAAACGAAACAGTGCTCTCATTCCTACCTTGATAGTTTTTCACAGGAGTCATCTTGTTATAATCTTCTGATAAAATAAACTCCTGCAAAATAATAGAAAAATATTAAGCAAAAAGAAATTCTTTAGGTGAATAATTATGTTTTGGTAAAACCAGACAGTATAAAGCAAACATCACCACAGCATTACATTTGACATGAGTATTTTGCCAATCAACTCAGCATATTTGTACTCCTTTAAAAGTAACAATCATAATTATGATCCCATGCAATTATAATTTTTACCCTATAACTCTGAAGTTGATTTTTTGAGTATGCATAAGAAGAAACCTAGATCAAGTTCAGACCAAGGGTCAATTCCGAAGATAAACCCAATTCAAATTACTTTTCTCTCAATGGTGCCACAGCTGAAAATCTGCAAGGTTTTGACCAGTGAGCAAAGGGATAGCAATCTTCTACTACAGAAATAAATTAGATACTTTAAAGGTTCTGTTTCTAATATCTGTAACTTATTTCCCCTTACGATGAGCTTCTCAAGACTGCATCTTACTCATCCCTGTAATCCTGCGGCACCTGGCACAGTGTCTTGGCATAGTCGGTAATCAATAAATACGATCAAACAGATATGTGAAAGGCATCTTCCAATCTGATGAGATTAGTTTGGATGTCAGATTTACTATAAAGTATCAGTTTCTATACAACACATTGTGTATACTCTTTGTGAGGACATAAAAGGTGAGTGTGTGGGTGTGTGTTGTGCATACTCCACCTAAGCATCTATGTATACAATGACCTTCACGTAGAAGCCAAGCGAGTCTTTATCAGCCTTAGCCAGGTTTTGAGTTTGGTAGCTTCTTTCAAATGGAAAATATCCACACAGTCTTTAAAAGTAAGCTGTCAAACATAACGAAAGCTGCAAAGCATAATAAATTGATGCCATCATCTGAACTAAAAACAGAACAGTGAACCTTTTCAAAACATTTGGAGGCTTCCAGAATTTTTCCTTGATGACTTAAAGAAAGGTAGGTGGGAGGACAGACGTATAAACTCCTTACTTGCTATCCAGGCATTTACTGAGTGAGTTCGCATAGACTGTGTAATTTTTTAGAATATAATTATTTCATTGTTTCTGTGATAGACGCCACAAAGGTAAAAGTATGAGGTGATGTGAGAGAATACGCAAGGCAAGAAAGTTCCTTTGAGTATTCACTTTTCTACCCCATCCCTCCTTAAGAAGCTTGTCTACAAATGGATTTTCTTCACCATGAGTTTCTCAGTAAAAACATTATTTAACTTGCCACTTTTTAAATTCATATCCTCATTCCTTCAAGGAGTGGCACTATATCCACTTCACATTTCTGAAGAGTTAGACTCACTATTGTTGAAAGCAGACAAATTTTTAAAGAAGTAAAGTCATTTTCCCAGAAAGAGCTCACAGTGTGGGTAAGGAGGCCGCGCACGCATCTAAGCAACGATTCACTACCACCCCCAATCCCAGGCAGGAGGAGCTCGGCACTAAGCCCCACAGCTTACCCGAAATTTCCTAACATGCACGCAAAATAAATTTATGAAAGATGATTGTTATTCAGGCAAATGTTCACTGAGTTCATACAGTTCATACGTTACTTTGCATATATTGAAATGGTTCTCTAGCTTGGGCAAAAGGTTCCTGGATTCCTTTTGGAAACAGGCAGGGTATAAAATGAAACAACTTGCTGCGACCTGCACTTAGAATCAACATATACACATACAATAGAACTACCAGTTTACTGCATTGGTAAACTTAATTTTTGTTCATTTGTTTTTCTTATGAGAATAAAAACATAATCATGGAGAAAATTTGGGAGGTTTTGTTAGCATTTTTTTCATTATTATTTTTTTGACCAGAGAAACAATATGCTATTCTAAGAAATGTAAGACAAACATTACAAAGTCCCTTGTGATGCTGCTTCTCAGAAGTAACCATTACGGAAAGTACTATTGGAATCATATATATAATAAAACAATGCTATATAACAATACTTCTTTCCTGTTAACAAATCATTCATCTCATTCCACATGAGTACATGCTCTCTAATGACTGGATAAGATGTTCTTCTATTGATGGGTGTTCATATTGCTTCCAGTTCTCCTTATTAAAAAATATTTCATCAAACGTATCCTATCTTTTTATATCTCTAAGAATATTTCAAAGAAATAAAGTTCTAGAAGTAGAATTGTTGGACCAGAGGATATAACCATTTAAAACTTGATAGATATTGCTGAATTGACTTTTTAAAAAGTTCTGCCTATTAAAACTCACAAACATACAATGTAAACGTTTGGCTGCAGCTTAGATTATTTCGTTAGGATTGACCAATCAAAGCTCAGAAAAAACTAGATCAAAGATGTACACATTTTAAATTATTTTATCCATCTTTCTATCCTCCCTTCTTTACATTCAAATGTCCACATTATCTGTCATCCTAACTGTTTTTTTTTAATACTTTATTTTTAGAGCATTTTTAAATTCACAGCAAAACTGAGAGGAAAGTACAGAGATTTCTCATATAACCCCCGCCCCTACACACACATAGCCTTCCCTATTATGAACAGCCCACACCAGAGTGTACAACTGTCACAAGTGATGCACAACTGTAACAATGTCGATTACACTGACACATCATTATCACCCAAAGTCCACGGTTCACCCTAAGGTTCACTCTTGCTGGTGTAAGTTCTGTGGATTTTGACAAATGTAGAACATGTACCCACCATCACAGTACCATACAGAGTATTTTCACTGCCCTAAAACTCCTCTGTGCTCTGTCTATTCACCTTTCTCCCCCTGCCTAACCCCCGGCACCACTGACCTTTTCACTGTCTCCAAAGTTTTTCCAGATTGTCCTATAGTTAGCACCATACAGCATGCAGCCTTTTCAAATTGGCTTCTTTTACGTAGTAACATGCATTTAAGTTTCCTCCACGTCTTTTCATAGCTTGATAGCTCATTTCTTTTTTATGCTGAATAATAATATCTCATTGACTGAATGTACCACAGTTTATTTATCCATTCATGTACAAAAGGACATTTTGGTTGCTTCAAAGTTTTGGCAATTATCAATAAAGGCACTATAAACATCCGTGTGCAGATTTTTGTGTGGACATAAGTTTTCATCACTTTTGGGTAAATACCAAGGATTGCTGGGTCGTATGGTAAGAGTATGTTTAGTTTTATAAGAACTGCCAAACTGTTTGCCAAATTGGCTGTACCATTATGCATGCCCACTAGTAACGTAGGAGAGGTCCCCCTGCTCCACAACCTTGCCAGCATTTGGTGTTGTGTTCTGGATTTTGGCCATTCTAATAGGTGTGTAGTGGTATCTCATTGTTTTAATTTGCATTTCCATGATGACTTATGACATGCAGCATTTTTTCATATGCTTATTTGCCATGTGTAGATCTTCTTTGGTGGGGCGCCTGTTAAGGTCTTTGGCCCACTTTTAATCAGACTGGCTTTCTCTTATTGTTGAGTTTTAAGAGCTCATTGTACATTTTGGACAACAGTTCTTTTATCAGGTTTATCTTCTGCAAAAATATTTTCTCCCAGTCCGTGGCTTGTCTTTTTATTCCCTTGACAATATCTTTTGCAAAGCAGAAATTTTTAATTTTAATGAAGCAGAATTTATCAATTCTTGCTGTCATAGGTCTTTTATGGTATTGTGTCCAAAAAGTCATCACCAAACCCAAGGTAATCTACATTTTCTCCTAAGTTATCTTCTAAGAATTTTACAGTTTTGTGTTTTACATTTAGGTCTGTGATCCAGTCTGAGTTAATTTTTGTGGAGGGTGTAGGGTCTATGTCTAGATTTATTTTTTACATGTCGATATCCAGTTGTTCCAGCACCATTTGCTGAAAAGCCCATCTTTTTCCATTGTATTGCCTTTGCTCCTCTGTCAAAGATCAGCTGACTATATTTATGGGGGTCTATTTCGGGGCTCTTTATTCTGTTCTATTCTCCATTTGTCTGTTCTTTCACCCGTACCACACTATCTTGATTACTGTAGCTTTTCAGTAAGTCTCGAACTTGGGTAGTGTCAATCCTCTGATTGTTCTTCAATATTGTGTTGGCTATTCTGGGTCTTTTGCCTCTCTATATAAACTTGAGAATCAGTTCGTCAATATCTACAAAATAACTTGCTCAGCTGTTGATTGGGACTGCACTGAATCTAGAGATCAAGTTGGGAAAACTGACATCTTGACAATATTGAGTCTTCCTGTCCATAAACATGAAATATCTCTTCCTTTATTTAGTTCTTTTTTTATTTCATTCAGTGGAGTTTCGCAGTTTTCTCACACAGATCTTATACATATTTTGTTAGATTTATACCGAAGTATTTCATTTTAGGGAGTTTTGATGTAAATGGTAGTGTGTTTTTAATTTTAAATTCCACTTGTTCATTGTTGGTATAAAGGAAATGATTGACTTTTGTATACTAACTTCATATCCTGCAACCTTGATATAACTGCTTATTAGTTTCAGGAGTTTCTTTTGTCAATTCTTACAGATTCTTCTACATAGATGATCATATCATCTACAAAGTTTTATTTTATCTCCTTTTCTTGATGTATTGCATTAACTAGTACCTCTAGTACAATGTTGAAAAGGAATGATGAGGGAGTTATCCTTGCCCTGGACCTGATTTCAGTGAGAAAACTGCTGGTTTCTCACCACACCAAACTGTTTTTAATGTTCACTGTAACAGATCAAACAATTCAGCATGTATAAGAAAAAAGTTAGTAATTTTCTCTACCCTCTACCTCACTCCTTTGAGGAAACCAGTGTTAATAGTCTGCTATATCCTTCCACAACTGTTTTTCCTCTGCCCTTATATAATAAAACATATATGCATATATAGAGGGTTTTTTTGTGTGTTGTTGCACAAAAATAGGATCACACTATAGACATTACTCTACAACTTGCTGTTTTCATTTATAATATATCAGAACTATCTTTCCACGGTAAAACACGTGGTTCTACTCTATTCTTTCTGATGGTTGTATAATGCTCCAAAACATAGATATCCCATATTTTACCCAAGTACT